CCACTGGACTCTAGAGAAGTGGAGATGTGTTCTCTGGAGGGACGAATCACGCTTCTCTGTCTGGCAATCCGATGGACGTGTCTGGGTTTGGTGGTTGCCAGGAGAACGGTACTTGCCTGACTGCATTGTGCCAAATGTAAAGTTTGGCGGAGGGGGGATTATGGTGTGGGGTTGTTTTTCAGGGGTGGGGCTTGGCCCCTTAGTTCCAGTGAAGGGAACTCTTAAGGCATCAGCATACCAAGACATTTTGGACAATTTCATGCTCCCAACTTTATGGGAACAGTTTGGGGATGGCCTCTTCCTATTCCAACATGACTGCGCACCAGTGCATAAAGCAAGGTCAATAAAGACATGGTGAGCGAGTTTGGGGTGGAGGAACTTGACTGGCCTGCACAGAGTCCTGACCTCAACCCCTGAAGTGGGGTTTGGGTTTTTCTTCCTCCCCGGGTTAGGAGGGTAGGCCTGCCCTCTCCTGTAGCATTTTACTTACCTGTAGTGTATACCTGACAGCCCCCTGTTCCCCTCTTCTTTTACTGCCCTGTATTCTTCTTTTGGTACTCTCTGAATTTCTCCCTCTTACCTTCTTTCTTGTGTATGTTCCCATCAAGATATTTTCATGTTGGGGTATACTATAGATTAAGTTATTCTAGGTAGTCTAAACACCACCTATTTTCCCCTTATTTAATGACTTCTGTATATTGAAGTACCGTATATACTCGAGTACAAGCCGAGATTTTCAGCTGAAAAGTGCCCCCCTCGGCTTATACTCAAGTCAGCGTCAGGTATCTTCTTACTTACCTCGCCGAGCGTCGCGTCACTGCTGCTCCGGTGGTCGGCATATTATCGGTTTAACTTCATGTGCTTTTCTGTGTTACGACACTTTTTCGACTGACCGGGATCCCAGTAGGTTGGGCTCCATACTGCCTGATATGTATATGGTTTCTTATACATTTGTGTACCCCATTTTCATGGTTTTGATTGTACAATTTCCTGTTCTATATATCTATATGGATATAGAGATATAGAGCTAGAGCTATAGATATAAAAATATTGAAATAGAAAATGTGTCTATTGTGCATTTTCATGTTGTTCATCTTTATGACAGATGCAATGGTTACAAAATGCTGTATAAATGTTACTGGCATGATTTAAAAAAAAAAAAAGACAAGATGAAACTGCATTGTGATGGCAATTGTTATGGCAGTAAGTCAGTTCACATGAACATATTTTAATTGTGAATGTAGCTGCATGGTTAGCTACAGCTCAAAGTATGTTTAAATGGGTTATGTTAACCAGAAAGGTCACGGTTCCAGATAAGCTTCAAAGGTGTATGTACAAGAACACTAATGTCACTGGCCTAAAATAATGTGATAACACACACAGGAACTCTCAGCCAAAAAGGAAGGGCAGGGATCATGTTGTGTTCCACACGTCTGGTCTTACATATCAGCTGTGTTTTAAGAGCCAAGTAAAAACTCATTGGCCATAAATAGTAGCTACTAAATATTCCTTGGAAATAAAATGTTTGCCGTAAAGTACTAAATCTTTTGCACTTTATAGTTAAACGTCAGGCACCTTTCACATGGACACCTTCAGTTCTGATCAGCAGGGTATCCATGCATGGTGTGAGCAGTAGGGTGGGGGGTCCGGGAGAGTGAGGAAGAGTATAATGCATGTTGGAAAGAAGGAAGAAATGCAGCAAAATATACATTTAAGCGGAGAGATGCAATAGAGGGGTGACACAGAATAGAAAGTATAAAGTAGTACCTGTGGACACATCAGCTGGAGAACAGGCACAGAAAAGAGAGGGATTCTAAACAAGGCCAAAAAATCTGAATCTTTTGTTACAACAACCCGTTCCTTCCTCACCATCACACCTATATATAAACTGGCAGACCTATGCTACATTGGGGTACGTCAATATGTAGGCTGAGCTTAAAGTAGTGCAAGACTGAGTGGCTCTTGCATGAGCACCACTCACTCCTGAAGGAATGCCCACCCAATGCTCCTGCCGGAAGAAGAAGAGCCTGGGATGATGTCATATGATGGCAAAAAATATCTAAAGGAAAAGGGTATGGTAGTGGCTTTAAAAAAAATATATATATCAGGGAGTCGGGAGGGGGTTGCTTCAGGAGATGTGGAGGGAGGGGAGAGATGAAATCCTGAAGTTGTGTGTGAACACACAACTAGAAAAAAAAAAGACATTCCGAGAAAAACATATTTCCTGATTATAAAAAAAACAAAAAAATCAATGTTTTGCACCATTTTCAAATGGTTTATGCTGCGGTCACGTGACTTCACAGCCTCTGTTCACCGCTCCGACCCTTCAGCTGTGCTTTAACTACAAATCCCAACATGCCTCTGGGAGTCATGCCTGTAACTGGCAGCCCTGCAGTGCCTCATGGGATGTGTAGTTCTAGAACAGCTGGAGGACCAGTGTTGCCCATCCCTGACATAGCTGGTGTCATGTATGGATAGTAGGAGGGAGGGCAGTGTGTGATGTCACACACAGCAGAGGGGTACTGTCCCCATCTGTGTGCTCTGCAGATTTGACAGTGAGGCTCTAGCAGTGAGCTGCTGTCAATCATCAGAGCAGCAAAACAAATGATTATCCGCGCTATAGTGCTCTGCCCCAATCTCCTCAAAAACACCCTATTGACAACATCAGAGCAGGGCTGGATGGGGAACCTAGACTACAGTGTTGTAAATTATGATTGAAGTAGATATATTAGGGGTATATTTCAGGTGTATGCCTAAGTAAATAAACTCTTCCCCCACAAACAATATGCAAAAAGGCAGAGGCATATCTTAATGGGATTGATAAGATGTTTGGTGACACGAACACTGTATTTGTATTTACAGAGTCTTGTATTTGTGATTACATATAAATAATGCAAGTGTTGTCAAACAATAGGGCAAAGGACAGCTGAAAGCTTTTCAAAGGAGATGCAACTGTTACAGGGTAGATGTGAATCAAGAGTCTGTTTGGTAACAACAAGATCAAAAGGTTTTTCTCTGGTCAACCAAATCAGCTTCTTCCACATTTTAGTGAATGAGGAAAATGGGTATATCAAGGAGAGAGAGAAAGAGGGAGAGAGAAAGAGGGAGAGAGAAAGAGGGAGAGAGAAAGAGGGAGAGAGAAAGAGGGAGAGAGAAAGAGGGAGAGAGAAAGAGGGAGAGAGAAAGAGGGAGAGAGAAAGAGAAAGGCACAGCGTCCTGTATCTCCCAGCAGCAATCCCAATTATATCAACAAAGCAGTGCCGGAGGGGGGAATGTCAACTAAACTGACTACAGGAAACAGGCACCATGTCCTATATCAAACACCGGCAATCCTGCTGTTTGCAAACTGACCACACCAGCATGAATCTACTTCCATGCTTGGGGTAGTCCGTTTACAGGGAATAAGGGGTAACTGACAGGATCACCGGGTATTTATCAACACCAAACAAAATAAAAACAAAATACAGACTATACTTACCAAGACCTATGTGAAAACCCCAAAGCAGATATTTAAACTTCATTTTTGGGGTAACAGACACTTGAAGTGAGGTGACCAGTGTCTAGTGAATGGGTAGACTTTATTTTCAGTGAAGTCACCGGTCTCCAGGGACAAGATGATAGGCTGCATTTTGAGTGAAGTTAAAGGAGAACTATGGGGTCAGTGTTTTTCCCCATAGTTCTCCTTAGGGTAACGGGAGACGATCCCGACAGTCTCATTGTCACAGGTCGGCTAGAACTATGAGGTGAGTGAAAAGCACTCACCTCATAGTTCTCCTTTAATATTGAACTAAACATGGTATTGCAGAGTAAAACAAAGTTACACATTGCAAGAAGGATTGTGTACACCAGGAGTAGGCAACCTTGGCCCTGCAGTTGTGGTGGAACGTCAAATCCCATCATGCCTCTGAGAGTCATGCCTGTGGCTATCAGTCTCACAATGCCTTAATGGGATTTGTAGGTCTCCCATAGCTATAGTGCCAAGGTTGCCTAGCCCTGCTGTATACTCTGTAAGCAATGGCAATCAGCTGACATGTCTCCTAGGCTGACATCTCTGAATAATCCTCTCTGGATTCTTTCTGTTGATGTAGAGGAAATAAAAGTGCTACTACATAACAATCCGCAATCCTCCACCCGTCATTCCCCAAACACTGAACAATGTATCACTTGTATGGAAGGGTTGAAGTCCACCAGCTGAAAACACAAAGCCCAGACAGACATGAACGAGAGCCTTTAGATTGTTACCAAAGGCAGGACCATGTGACATTTACCAACAACAATCCAAGCAGATGCCCTCACCTGTACACCTCTTGTCAGCTCACTCCATGCAGATGTGGCTGCAGCAGTCACTTTCCCCTTAGAGATGACAGATCGTAATGTACACAGCATGTTGGGTGACTTTATTCTAATCCCTATTGTATTCTGTAACTGCTCTCCTGCTGCTTATAGACAGGACACGGCTGGGTGAGTGCAATAGATAATGATCCGCTCAGGGTACAAGACGCCCCTCTACAACTCACACCGATCCCTGGACGTGCCCCACGTGACCTTCCTGATCACTGGCTGCAGCCAGCAACACCCCCGCCTGTACCAATGCAGCGAGCACACAGGGAGAACGGACTGTACCATTCCTGCTGGAAGAACAAGCAAGTGTACGACTCTCATGAAAGCAGAATGTTTCTTCTGTATATTTACCCTTACGCCGCACTAAGATAGAACTGATTTATTATCTTTTATTAATATAACGTATAAAACCCTAAGGGCAGCTCTCTGCACCTTGTGACTTGTTGTTTATGGGATAACAGTCATGTTTCTCTTAAAGCTGAACTCCCTACACACACAAAAAAAAAACATTTATGTAAATATATTATTTGAATAGCCACAAAGGATACAAATCTACTTTGTGTGTGCTCAATTCCTTTTCAAACCTAGATATTACCTTGTAATTGTAGTAGTGACTAGTGATGGACTAGGGCGTGTTCGTAGCTCCACGTACCGAGCCTGCCAGGATGCTGACAGCGCAGCAGCGCCAATCACAGGTACTGAGACATTTTCCCGGTCCGCACTTGCAGAGATCTGGAAATATCTAAGTACCTGTGATTGGCCCTGCTGCGCTGTCAGCATCCTGGCGGGCTCAGCACGTGGAGCTGCGAACATGCCCGAGCCCATCACTAGTAGTGACATCCTCACGGTGCTGTACATAACTTGTGCAAAGAGCGGAGCTGTGGGAGAAGCTTAGCAGACCCCACCCAATACAGCAGGGGTGGGCATACTCCGGCCCTCCAGCTGTTGTGGAACTACAAATCCCATGAGGCATTGCGAGATTCTCACAGGAACAGACATGACTCCCAGAGACAGATGCATCGTGGGATTTGTAGTATCACCACAGCTGGAGGGCTGGAGTTTGCCCACCCCTGCACTACAGGCTGCTTGAAAAAAACTACAGGAGGAGGGTGGATGCAAGGTCAGTCACTATGCACAAGGAAAGAAAGCAGTAGTGACTGGTCTTCATTACAGGAAACTCCTGCACAAAAAGAAATCCAAGCTTCAAGTAAGGGTACATATGGCTCTTCTTCAAGGACAATATTTGCTTATGCCGGAGTTCAACTTTAAAGGGCCACGCGCTCATAATCTCTCAATTGTCATAAATAAACTAGTAAGATCTCGTGCACCCAGATGTAGCAAGATCCGATGTAAAGTCTTGTTAGTACACTGTACATGTGTAACGTGTGTACCAACATTTACCTGTGCACGTCGTATAGAACAAATTGGGCCCTAAGACACAGACGGCTTCAGTTGAGTACATTTGTGCTGTATGCATGCAAACATTAGCACAAACTTTGTCCATAAAGCACTGTGAATGCAGATGTTGCTCTTTTTTTCACATCCTGAGCTTTGCACAACTGTGTGCATGAGCCCATAGAATACAATACAGCTGCATTACTTGCCTCACTGCTTCCACATTTACAAAATGCCTTGTATTGTTCTCAGAGAATATAATATGTGTTCTGTGATTGGAGGAGGAGAGATGATGTCACATCCACCACTCTGTCTGCTAGAGTGCATTGAAGAAGCATTGTCTCTTTGGTCAGTGCATTGCCTACATAGGTTTACAGCACAATCATATAGAATATAGTGAGGAGAATTTACTAAGACTGGAGCAGCTGTGGCAACCAATCAGCTTCTAGCTTTCATTTTCAAAGCTAAAGGCTCCTTTGACACATTCGTCGTCCGTTCTGATTAGGGTTGTCACCTTTTCTTCAAGTGAATACCGAACACTCTAGCGCCATGCGCTGCAATTTTTTTGGGGAGAATATAAAGGAGCGAGCGAGGAGAGGCAGCCAGGGGAGGGAGTAAGGAGACCGGCTATAGAGGACTACAAATCCCAGCAATACATTATACAGCAAAACAAAATAATCTGAAGCGACATATTCTGTGTTTTTCTAGGTTGGTACCCTGATATCTCCAGGTGGCCTGCTGGGCTGTGCGAGCTCTCAGGTGGGCTGTGTGACACTCAGATGGGCTGTCTGGGCTATGGTATCTCACCAGGGGTCCGCAGGCGGGCAGCACAGTGTCAGGGAGCCGCAAGAGAAAAAGGAGGAGCAATCACAGATGCAACTGCCGATGTCCTTGGCAAGCGCATTCTCGGGCAGACGCATCTGCCTGAAACCTGGATCTTCTTCTGAGCTGCGGGCATCTGTAAACAGACACAGGCTGCCCGCAGCTCAGAGGAAGATCTGGGTTTTAAGCAGATGCGTCTGCCCGAGAATGCGCTTGCCAAGGACATCGGCAGCCGCATCTGTCAGAAAATGTAAAGTGCCAGTGTCGGGACTGAGTGTCTTGTGTCGGGGTGCCCGCTGGCTGGACACCTGGACACAAGACTCCAAAACCGGACTGTCCGGGTGAAAACCAGATGGGTGGCAACCATAGTTCTGATCAGGGGATATGTGAATAGATCATCTACTGATTGTATGGAACTGATATTACTTTTGTGACATCTGTTTTCCTACATCTTGTAAGTTTACATCATGTCAGTTTACATCTGACTACATCCAATCTACCATGATTAGATCTTTCAGGATGGAACTGTTACTTTTTTTTTGCTGGACCTAGACCGAATCAGAGGGTAAACGTGCCCATACACCTTGCAATTATCGTACGATAATCGCGGGAAATGCCGCGATCGTACAATAATCGCAAGGTGTATGGAAGGCGTGCGACCGTTTCTACTGTACGGTCGCACGTCTTTTGTCTTACGAGCAGGCTCGAAAACCCGCTGAGAATCGTATGATTCTCGGCGGGTTTGTGGCGCGCTCGTAAGACAAATGCCGCGCGTGCCGGTGTGCGCACGCTCACACTGCCCGTTCAGCATTGCGGTCATCGGAAGCCCGCCCCTCAGCGGGGCGGGCTTTCGATGATCGCAAGTACGATCTGCCTGGCCAAGATGGCCGGATCGTACAAGCTTTTCATTAGCTTACTAAAGATAAGTGCATTTTATCATTTCAGAACAGCGCATGTGGCAATAATATGCTAAATGAGTTTAAGAAAAGCTGTGTTTTCCTTTAAAGCTCTAACTCGATTGATATGATTCTATTTTTAATCTGACAAGAAAATATGACACACAAAAGAGACAAAAAGGCAAATGTTTTTTACAGAAACTTTGATAACTATGCCTGGTACAGGAGGTCTAACAGATCACATAAAATGATGTTAGTGATTTAATGACAAAAAATTTTTCAATGGTAGGATATACGTAAGTGTTATGTATTTAATATCATGCTGTATTTTTAGAGTATCAAAACATTTTATATAGAGAAACTGTTATATTTTTAGTAAGAGTGTAACTGCTTGTTCCAACAATTTAAATATGGTGTGTGCCACTATGATTTTTTAGATTATGTTGTTGACATACTTAAATATTAATAACAATAATAGTACTGTAATCATCTTGACTGCGGCTGTTTCCTTCATTGGCCACTAGAGGCAGTCATTGACAGCTGAAGCTGAGTGCATTGTCAATCTCCTGGCATTTAAAAAAATTAACCCCTGCTCATATAGATAACATCTTTGGATATAGATACACATGCGCATTGTATTCAGTGTATTTTGGGTGTATCCCCCATAGTTGTTATTGTCTGCCATTAAAAAAAACAGTGAGAAACCAGCAAAAACATTCCAACCAGTTAGGTTTCTTTGCTGAGTTGCATTGGTCCTAAAGGTTTGGCAATTGTTAGTTTCACCCACCCAATGACATTGGTGCCCAAGAGTATCACAATTAATATAATATAATCCCCATCATGTAAGTTTAAAGTGCACCTGATTTGCTCTAAAATGTTTCTCAGCTAACATTGCTGACATGCGTGTAACTTGGGGGGTCTGCAAGTGTCTGTGTGAGATCAGTACTTGTAGAAATTGGAGGACTGACCCACCAGAGTTACAGAGGGTCCACAATGAGCCCAGAGTATATGACGTAAAAAATAAAAAGTACCTAGTTGGGGATTGGTCCTTTTCTATGTGTCAATGTCATGCCTGTCTTTCAGCGCTGATCATTCCACCCCCTGGGCCCCAGCCACATAATTTTTTCCAATTACCACTGCGCACAAAAACTCCAGCAAGTCACCTACATGATTGGCGGCTGCTGTCTGGCTGCGACCCACCCTCCCTCTTCCGCTGTGTCTGCATCCTATGTTGCTAGGCAGCCGATTTTGGGGGAGAAATGTATGGACTTCAAGTTTGAAGCCTCACAATGCAGCTATTGCTCCAGTCTAGGGCTCTTGTTGGGGCAGGTAAACCCTGGGTGCCAGAGAGCTTAAATGGACACTCTGTCTCTTGCTCTCATACCCAGGTCACTTTAAAAGTAAAGTCCACTTTTTATATAAACATAATTAATGCAGACTTTTTCATTAATGAAACAAATATGCATTAATAATTTTTGTGCACCAGCAGTTAGATCGCAGGTGCAATGCTCTGGCTCCACCCGTCTATGTATTTACCATGATACAGACAAGCAGTAACATGGATGGTAGGAACTGTCAATGGACTAGAAGTACGGTGACATCACCGCACTTGTATTGTATTGAGAACTACAAGTCCCTCTGCCATGGTGGTTGATGGGACTTGTAAACTCTCTGGTACAATATGTAACCCACCACACTCCTGACCCGTATACCCCTTGAGGATGGGTGCTGAAATGAGTGCGGATGGCGTCGCTAAGATCAATGAAGATGTCACCAGTGTCCAAACAAATGTCTTTATTGACATATTGTCACAAAAATGGCAATGTTTTGGGGTCACACAAGGTCCCTTCATCAAGCTCAATATGATGTGAATAGAGTTGAAGGAACCCCAAAACTTTGCCATCCTTGTGACAATGTCTATGTGACAATAAAGACGTTTGTTCGGACACATTTCTTTGATGTGCTGGTGACATCTTCTATCTTTGTAGATTCTCTGTTCAT